CATGTCATTCAAAAAAATTATCTACATAAGCATCCATATAACAAACTTTATGAGATGTATATGTATATTGTAATATAATATATATGATTTCTATAGGTTTATACAAAATGGTTAAGATTTGGTCGTGTTCTGGTTTCTTTTTTTAATTAAGGTGATAATTTTTTAATTTAATTATTTCTTTGGATGAGGGTTCGAAATGAGCTAGATTTTTTTTATTGTGACTTTAATTTTTGTTGTTGTGTGTACTATAGTGATGGAACTTGGTTGTTCTATGTAAGGAACTTCGAAGAACTATTATACTTTAGTGAAATGACATTCATTACATGTTATCTCTAATGATTTTCGAAGTTGTCTACACATAAAAATTCTTGGGATAAGAATTCAAATCGAGGTTTGAGACTCTAAAATTACAACTACTTATGGCATAATCGATAAAAGCTAGCAAAGAAAATTATTAAACTAATCATAGAGCATAACTAAATATGATAGGAATTTCAAGAGAAAAAAAAAATGGAAAGAATAGATATACCATGTGAAACTAACCAAAAGTAAGCTTGATGATAGTAGAACATTTTGCACCTCCATTTAATCTGTTGTCCATTACAAATATCAAAACAAAAGAAAAAGTTCAACTTGATAAAACTTTAAAATTTTAGAAAGAATAATACTTTTACTAAAAATAACAAGGGAAATTTTATTCAATAACAAAATTTTGAAGAATAAAACATCTGTAGAGAAAGAAAAAGTTCCACAACTTTTTTGATAAAAAAATTAAATAAATCAAATTGGTATACAACTTTATTATATTAATTAATCAAAGCATCATTTTTATTTTATACAAATAGGGAATATTGAATAAATAATCAATTAAAAGATAAAATATATTACTTGATTGAATGAATAATCCATGAAAAAATAAAAGGTCTATAGACAACACCAGTAAAAATATAACAATTTATGTATTTTTGTAGTTTTGTACAATATATGAAAAAACAAAGTCAAAATTAAACTAAAAGAGCTTACCTAAACCAAATAGAAAAGAAAAAATAAATCCACCTTAAATGGAAGACCTTAAATGGATAAGTAATAAAAAAGTAATGCTAAAGTTTGTGAGAATATAGAATATTGTTTCAAAAATAAGTTGAATAAAAAGCCATAAAAGAATCAAGCTAGATAATTTTATTTAAATCCATAAATATATTTAAATAATAATTTTATCTATTTAATTATCTTATATTTAATTAATTTTTCATTTAAATTTTGATAACTTTAATCCATAAATATATTTAAATAATAGTTTTATCCATGGATAACATCTAATCAGATAATAATATTTAAATTTTGGTGTTTTATACCTTTATCTTTCATAGAGAAATATCTAATCAAATAATTATTTGATAATTCTAGACTCAAGAAATTTCATCAAAGTGACTAACATGGCTTGTTAGAGTTTAAAAGTTATATAACACAAGTTTTTTTCTTAATGTTATTTAATTGTGCATTGCGATTTCATTTGCATAAATAAATGAAACAAATTTATTTAGTTTATTTTCTTATTTGTTTTTAAATGATAATAAAAAAAGATATTACCTTAAATGGGTTCTAATTAAATTTATTACTATTTGAGAATAGATAAAAGAAATATTACAGCTGATATGAAAAAAAAAAATCCTACCCAATGGAGTGAATAATATGTTTAGTGAAATAGTACCTATCATAAAAAAAAAGTATGTTAGTTCTTATAGTAGGAATAGACTAATAAAAAGCGAGATTAAATTAATAGTGAAAAAAATATGTTTAGCTCATATATTTCGTGGGACATTGGGAAAACTATATAACTAAGAACTATCAACAATGAGAGCTTTTCTGAAGTTGTTTTGGTATTTATATATATATATATTTAATATTTTCTTAAATATTAATATTAAAAGTCTATGACAATATTGACTTAATTTTAAATTTTATTTTAATTCAGATATATTTAAATATATTTTTTAAAACTAGTGGATTATTTATTAAATTATTTTATCTCTAACAATATATTTAAAATAAAAATAATACAATAATTATTTATAAAAATATTAAAGATATTAAATAATATTTTAAAAATTATGATAAATTTAAATAATCATATTAAGTGCAAATAAATTGAAAAAGATAAATTACTTTTAAATTGAGATGAGGTCATGTATAAGAGAAATAAATTTTATTATAATTTAAATTAGTTTTTGATTAAATTTTAAAAAGTTTAGATAATTTAATAATTTATAAAAAATATTTTTATAAATAATTTAAAATTAATAAATATATTACGTGTCATCATAATAAGAAGTTTTAAAAATTATTTTATGTGTCAAAAAAAGAAACTGTCTACATAAGTATCTATGTTAACAAATGCTATATGCTAACTATATATATTATAATATAATTTATGTATGTTGACACCATTTTATTTATCTATTTATTTATTTACTTATTTATTTTTCTTTTATTTTATTTTTTTTTTCTAGCAGCGGCTCTGACAACCACCAGTAGCCATTCTGATAGTCGATGACTGCCCTAATCGTAGGTGATCAAAATCTCAGAAAATATGAGATTTTAATTTTTTTTCTATAAATAGAGCTGTAAAAACACCACCAGAAAAAAAAGCTCAAAACCCTAAAAAAAAATCTGCCAGATTAAAAAAAAGATAAATTTTTATCAAAAAAAAAAATTCAAAGCAAATCAAACACATACAAACACAGAAACAACAACCTCTGGATACGAGGACCACAACACCAAACAAAAAACAATACAGACACAAAAAATTTTTGGCCAAATCTTTTAGGTTAGATTTGTGTCATTTGGAGCCACTTTTTCACAAAAACAGGCTTGGATCTGGACTTAGAAGGCTTGATGAATCTTGGGATTTTTCAATGACCGACAAACGATGGCCGGCACGATGGAGTAGTGATCGGATTCTGAGTTGCTAGAAGGAGAAAGAGAAAGTATGAGAGGAAGAGAGAGAAAGAGGAAGAAGAAAACAAAAAAAAAGCTAATTGGGCCTTTAAATAGCCTTTCAAAATGACGTTGTTTAGGAGAGAAGCAAAACGACCCCGTTTCGATCCCAGAGGATCCGCACGTCGACTAGCAATCCGACCCAGGATCTGCGCACTTAACCCAATAACCCGTTCTCCCTTTTATCCCTTGATCGGTCCAGTTGAACCGATCTAGACTAGACTAGACCGATGCCAAATCACTAAACTTGAACCAATCGGATCAAACCGGATTGAACCGCTGAACCAGCCCAGACTGGCGTTGACCGGACCATTGACAGGTTCAGTTCAGGTAAAAAAAAATTTTTTTTAAATTTTTTTGTATATTATTTTAAATTTTATTATTAATATTCATGCATATTAAAATATTTATATCTATTAGAATAAATTTTTGTTGAAATAAGTAAAAATATATGATAAAATATATAATAAAGTTTTTTTTGATAATTTTGTTAATTTTAGAATAAATCTTATAAATTAATAAAAAAAATGTAAGAAAAAAATTTTTTGTCCGACTATGAGATTCAAAGATACTCCGAGTAATGATATCTATGAAATCTCTAGGTGAAATTTTTTTTTTAAATACTACCAGTGTATTGAAATATTTATACCAAATTTTTAATATAATAATTTTCTTTCTATTAAAATAAACAAAATTAACTAATTTATTGAAAAATAAAGTGATAAAGGAATAATAATAAAAAATAAGAAAAAAGAAAATTTTATCCAATGATAAGATTTTTAAAAGTATTTCAAGTAGTGATACTTTACGAAATCTTTAGATGAGAATGTTTTTTTAAATATTACCAATGTATTGAAATATTTATAAAAAAAATTTCAATATAATAAAAATTCCTATTTTCTTTTTTTTTAAAATAAAAATATTAATAAAACAATTAATAAAATTAAAAAAAAAAGAATAAAATGTGTGCATCAATATGGTAACATTTTACATTGTATGCATGATATAGTTTTTTTACAAAAAGTAAATTTGAGCCTCAAATGATGAGATTTTAAGGTATTCCGAGAAACAATGCCTAAGAAATCTCTAGGTAATAAAAGGTTCTTCTAATGTTACTAATGTACTGTAATATTTTAAGAATTATTTCGATAAAAGAGTTTTAATTTATTTTTCTCAAATAAAATTTGAGCACTAAAAAATTTCCAACAAATGAAAAAAAGCAAAAAAATTATTTTTCAAACATAAAAAATAAGACTTTTTATATTAAAATCAATGGACAACACATAGTTAATTAGTACCGTTTTAAATGGATGTTGTGAGGGTGCTAATTCTTCCCCACACGTAACGACTCCCGAACCCAAACCGTTACACAGATCCTAAAATTATCCTCTTAATAAATTTTAATTAATTTTAAAATTTTATTAAAATGATATATTTTAATAGGTGATCAATCACACATAACAAAAAAAAATTGGTGGCGACTCCGTTATATTTTATTTCATTTTCAAATTCATCAGACGGATACAAAATCGTTACGACAATATATATTATGATTTATTTAAAAAGATAATATATTTAAATTTAAATTTGTTACAAACAATTTAAAAATTATTTACATAGTGATATACAAATAAACAAATTTATTGAATAATTTTTTATAAGTAAAAAAATTTTAAAAGATAATGTATTATCACATTTGAAAATCTTAAATTTTAAAAATATATTTCTAGATTATTCAAAAATTCATTTAATTTTAAAAAAAATAATGTATCTAAATTATATCTTATTGTCAACAATTTAGAAGTTTTCTAATGTAAATATTCAGGTAAGCAAATTTTTGTAGTAATTTTTGAGGTGTTAAATAATAAAATTATTTATATAAACATCCATATAAACAATATTTAATTGATATTTCTGCATTTTATAATATAATATAATAATATATATAAATATATATATATATATATATATATATATATATATATAAATATATATATATATATATATATATATGATTTGATGCCTGATTGTGTATTTAAAAAAACCTACTATAAATACTCCCAAATATTCTAATCTATGTTCAACCAGCCCTAGAACTGGATTACAGCATCAGATCCTCTCAATTTGTTGGAAGAAATTTTTTTTTTAAAAAACAAAGAGATGCAGATCGTTGTGAAGACGCCTAATGAGAAGACTATTACCCTCGAGGTTGAGAGCTCTGATAGTATCGATAATGTCAAGGCCAAGATTCAGGTTTTTCTTTTTGCCCTCTTCGTTTTTCATTTTGCTATTTTTTATCTGGGTTTGGTTTGTGAAGGAAGTTGACTTCTTGTTCGATGGATGAGAAAAGGAAGGAAACGATAAAGGAAATCAACTATGAATATGTGTGAAAGGGAAACTGCAGTGACGGTTTAGGAATTGATTTTCTTGGTTTCTTTATTTAAATATTGTACTGTAGAATTCTTGGTTGACTTCTGTTTGGTTGACGAGAAGAGTACAGAAAGGAAAACTAAAGTTTAAAGAAAAAGAATTCGAACTTAAATTATTCGATGGGTATATGACAAATATATTTTTATTAATTTTTGGGTTCCTTTTATGCTAAAATTTTGAAATTAATAGTGCTTAAATTATGCTGTGTCGTTCCAAGTTTGGACAAATTAATTAGATGCTGTGAAGCCTGAATTGAAATTTTCTAGGATTGGAAATACTTTGAATTCTGAAGTTTCCAATGTAAAAAATTTACTCAGATTTTGTCTAAGACGGGATTAAATGGTTGCAAAAATTGTGATGGTCACCCATGATTATTGTATGATTGAGTCTAATGATAATAAAATTGTCAAGAATTTCTCCAATTTGTTTTTGTTTATTTTTGTCCGGTACATTGGAGGTCGTAGCCTGGAATAGCGGAATGGGTTGTAGGAGTTGGGATTCAAACTTTAGATCTACTGAATATTACCTCTTAAAAATGATTTAATGAATTAACTGAGCAAAACACTAGGTCTATTTGTGCTTTGTTTACTTTCATATTTGTACTACATGGAAAAGCTTGAGGGGGTTGTGTCAGACTGCCTTTTCTTTCTCTTCCTGTAATTAAACGTTTGCTGATGGTGGACTAAGCTTTTACGGGACAAGGAAGGAATTCCTCCTGATCAGCAGAGATTGATTTTTGCTGGCAACCAGCTTGAAGATGGTCGAACTCTGGCAGATTATAACATCCAAAAGGAGTCTACTCTTCACTTGGTTTTGAGGGTTAGGGTAGGGACCATGATCAAGGTCAAGACTCTCACTGGGAAAGAAATTGAGATTGATATAGAACCCACTGATACCATTGATCGGATTAAGGAACGTGTTGAAGAGAAAGAAGGAATTCCACCTGTGCAGCAAAGGTATTTCTACTGTTCTTTGGGTTTTTTCTTTTGAAATGGACTTGTCTATGTTGCATGATTAACAAACTAACTCCTTTTACATTATTATTTTGGTTTGTGTTAATGCCTTGAATGCTCCTAAATTATAGTGAAATGTTTAATGTGGTACTTGAATTTTAAAAATCTCTAATGTGGTACTTAAACTATGAATCTATTAACTAATGTGGTACTCACCCCTAATGTGACTAACTTCAAATGATGACATAAGGCGTATAAAAAATCCTTCAAGTACCACATTAGTTAACAAATTCATAATTCAAGTATCACATTAGAGATATTTAAAGTTCATTATCACATTAAACATTTCACTATAGTTTAGGGATCATTCGTGACATTATCCTTTTTAGTTTAAATTCTGTACAATATTCTCCCTGAATGATGCCATTTGAGTATAAAATGCTTGGCTTTAATGGTTCACTTTTGTAATTGTTGACACTTGATGGATCCAATGTATAATCTTTTAGTTGCCTTGATATCTTATTTCACTGATTTGTCCCATGGTTGCAGGCTCATCTATGCTGGGAAGCAGCTTGGAGATGACAAGATGGCTCGTGAGTACAACATTGAGGGTGGCTCTGTACTTCATATTGTGCGCGCACTGAGAGGGGGAAGTCTTTAGATGCTCTGCTACTATTATCAAAAACATCGGCTTAAATCAAATGTTTTACATAATATGGATGACTCTGCCTGTGATATGTGGATGATTGAAAAGCATTATCTGATAATTTCCTTGAGATGTTATAGACTTGTTCTGTTCTGATAGTACTTATGTGACTCTCTGAGGAAGTTTAATAGTCTAAATCTTTTTTCCCCTCAAGATAAATTGTGCTTCTGCTTTCAAACCGGCAACTTGTGAGACAACCAAAAGGAATAACAACTTCCTATGATTAATTAAATTGATTATTATTATTTTTGTTTAAACATTTTGTTCATATATTTTCATATACATGTAATACTTTTGTTACTTAAAATTTTTATAATTTATTATATTATTAAAGATCATGTATGTTTGTTTTGGTGTCACTAAAGTATAAGAGTAGAGTTCTTTTAAGTAGGGGCTGAAAATTGGTAAAATCGTTAGGAGTTTAGAGGGTATAGTAATCCATGGTCAATTTAACTCAAATCTTTTTGAGTCCAAAAATCACTTCGAAAATTTTAAATAAATAAATATATATATATATATATATATATAATAATGATGTTTGCAATTTTGACTAAAATTAGATAATCTTAATCATAGGACTTAAGATACTACAAGGGCTCAACTGAATCCAACAAGGGAGAGTAACTGTTGCATATTTTGGCACATTGAAGGGAGAGGTTCGAAGACGCTCGAGCGACAGCCAGAGGTTTATATGCTTGTTGGTTGGAGGAGACCGATGAATCTTCTTCCTTGGTTGTCTTTTGTGAAGCTGTATGGTTAGGTCTTATATGTTGAGCTTGAAATTCAAGTCTGAAAAATACAGGTTTGGATAGTTCGGCTTCATCCACTAACCAAGCATAGCCTATATTAGACTGATAATTAGATCAATTGAAATTGTTTTTTGCTTAAATATTTTCTCATTCCAAGCCAGCCAAATCGACCATAGAATTGCATAGAATAGTGTATCCCATGTTAGTTTCTGGTTACTACTTACAATAAGACTCGTCCAAGACATAAACAGGGATTTAACCGAACCTGGGATAGACCAACTAATGTTCCATTGTCGAACACATTTGTACTAGATTTATTGTGCAAAGGAGCAGTGCAGAAAGAGATGATCGATAGTTTCTTTTTCGTCGCAGAAAGAGCATTTGTTCACCAAGTTAACTAAACATCTTCTTGTGTGTAAAAAATCGAAGATAGGAATACCTCCTTTTAGAACTTTCCAACAGAAAATCTCCACTTTAGGTGAGGGGATTTCCTTTCGAATATATTTGATAATTCGTATTACAGTTTCATGTAAAATATTGTATTCAAATTGAGTTTTATATAAAAATTACATATCACGTTTGTATCGACATGAAAATATAAAATGTAATTTTTTGATTTTATTAAACATATTTATGATTTTTTAAAAAATTTTAAGTCCGTGTTATCTTCATACCTTTTATTCGTATTGTTTTATTATCATATTATCATATCGTATTTCAAATAGTCAGATCTACTTCCAGATTTATTTTTCATACGCTGAATTAGATACTAATGTGGAATCAAGAACTTTTCTAAAGGATTTAGAGTTGAAAAGTCCATTTGTTGTGTGCTGCAATATGATCCTGTCATGAACTGTTGGGCATAAAGTCACAGTGTTTAACAAGCTCGTGAGTTGGTTCCATAATTCCTGTTCCCAGTTAAACAAGTTTCTACGTAACTGACTTTCCCAACTCCAAGTTATCCGAGTCCAATTTCCGATGTCTAATAGGAAAAGTAATCTTGGTGGGCAAGTTGATGGTGTTATAACAAGTACAAGTTTCAATTTAAAGAGATATGAGAAAAAAAAAGGGGGGGGGGGGGGAGCTGTAAGTGTATAGGACTGTTAGACACCTTGTGAGAGTGTTCATAGATGATCGACCGAGAGTATTTATAAATAATCAAGCGAGAGTACTCATAGATGGCCATGCAAGTGTGCTTACAGATTGGGTTGAGAATGATTTGTATTTGGTAAGTGTTTGTTCGGATTATGATTGATTGAGTATTGAGTTATGTATTCAATACTATGTCAGCATTCCTACCAATGATGTCTCAGCTGAAAGATGTACTCTCGTGTTCTTGTACTAAATTATTCTACACAACAAAACCGTATAGCAAAAGCATAGAGCATTTTCTTTGGGGTTGCTACCTTACTTGTACCAACCAGTAAGGAAGTATCTCAGCATAAAACAGAAACAACATCCTAGGGTCTGTTGGAAAAGGCAAACATACACCAATGTGAAACAGAAGTAAACAAATGGATGATGCATGGTACTTGGAGATCATTCCACTTGACAAAGTGAAATTAGAACTAATAAACACAAACACTGCTCCGCCATGTTTACAGAATTTTGACTAGGATGATATGACAATTATACAAGAAGACAATGAACATAGATAATATTGTAGAGTAGGGATAATAGATAAAATAAAAACTTGAGTCTCACAATTTGATATTCTTGATATATTTTTATATTCTTATAGCGAAAGAATACGTAAAAAAGTCTTATTTGTTGGTAAAATATATAAAATGATGACGTGAGAGATATATAGTAGAGATTAATATGTTGGATATCTAAAAGCAACTAATTGATTTGAAATATATTATTTAAATCATCAATTCTTTGATTTTCTTTAATCTCTTGATAATTGTATATATTCAAAAAAATTTAAAGAAATATTAATATTTCCAATTTTGTTAATCATTGTTATTTTTTTAAATATAAATAAAATTTTCTTTAATGAAAGAAAATCTTCGGTTCATATGTTAAATGTGTTTGGATTAATAGAAGTGTGATCTACAAGGTTATGCATGTATCAAACAATACACATGACATTCGCTCAGATATGAAAGAGCTTTGCTGTCTTTCTATGATTAAAACTTTAAACAACAAATAAAGAGCATTGCAAATTGTTTTTTATAAGTTTTATGATTGAAATTAATGGTTTGCAATGTTGTGTAACTTAATGCATGAATTATTTCATACCAGTATGTGCCTTTTTTTTGTTTCTATAATAAAATTTCAAATGTCATTGTCCATATAAATAATATTTTACCGATGATATTATCATGGTCACATTACCGCCATCTACAAATATTAAAATTTAATTTCCTTCAATTGTTTAGTTAGGAATACACAAATCAATCATAACTAAAAAAAATAAAATTCAATACTATTTCTTACTAACAATGAACTTAGTTTTTGGTTAAAGGAGGGAAAAGGTCAACTTGTTCAGTAAAAACTAAAAAGATTTGGTCAACAACGTTGGTAGTTTTGTGCGGGTTCCAGAATGAATTGTTAAAAAAACTAAATTGTTAGCACAGCTGTGATGGAGCTATTTTAATTTAAAAGGCATTATTGTTCATTGAAAATGATGTTGCAGGACAAAGAAGAATGTTTTATCTGTTTTCAAAGGATGAATATCTAATTGTCAAAATCTTCTTTTGAGGTCAAATTTTGAAAATAATTTTATGTGTGACAAATTTGCAAAAAAATGACTCCAACTGTGCCACACCATCGCTTGAATGGGTTCCAGATAGAGCTTAAAATAATTTATTTAAAAAAATAGAACATAAATATTTGATAAAATAGAACATAATTTATTTAATCTTGATGGGTTCTGTTTTCTGGGTTGGAGCTCTTGATTGCTTCTTGTCTTGCTTTTTGATTTTGTAGGGTTAACGTTTGGTGGGTTGATGAGTTTGCTTCGAGCTTTTCTGGTGGCTATTGGGTCTTGTTGTAAGCTGTGTGCTAAGAATGTCGTCGACTCTGTTTTTGCTTGTTGATGATTTCTTGCTCAATTTGTTGATGGGTTCCATTCTAGGTTGACTTGTTGGTATGGTTGTTTGGGTTGGGCTTTGTTGCTTGTTCGGCTTAGTGATTGTTTGTTGATTGAGTGCTTTCTGACTTTGGGTTCTGTCGATTTGCTGTGCTTGTTTTGTCTTCTCTTTCAATTGATCTTAGCTGCTTGTAATTGTCTTGTCAAATTGTTGTTTTATCCTTGCTGGTTATTTTGATGGACTCTGATAGTGAATTATTGCTGTCCGGCCCTATTCTAATTGCCTCTTGCTTCCTTTCTTTGTGATAACAGATTTGAGTCCTTATATAAAGGATTTATGCATTTTTAATTTGGAAAAATCAATTTCACTAAATTTGTGATTTTATTGTGATTTTATTTGATTTGATTTTTCTGTCAATTAATTTTCCATGAATCAAGCCCAAGTTTTCCTTACACAAAAGATCTCTAAATCTCAACATTCAATTTAATCAAGACCAAATCCAAGATATTTGCAAGATCCCACATTTTGTTCTATTTCGTCTTTTTTTTTTTTTTTAACCTTGACTTTGAACCTTTTTTTTTACCAAAATATACCACAAACTAAAAATTAAAACTAAATTAAAGAAAGTTAAATCTAAATTAAAATTAAAATTAAAATCAAATTTAATATTGAAATTGAAATTGCAATCAAATTACAACTCAAAATTAAAAATTTTGGGCTTTTATCCTATTGGGCCTAAAGCTTTCCAACCAAGGCCCATTCCAACTCAAAAAAAATTTAGGAAAAAATTGTGCATCTACAATTATCTATGAAGTTATATGAACAAGTTATGTAAAGGAAATTCAAATTTCTATAGAGTTTTTATTTATTAAAAAGCAAAATAGAGATGTCTCATAAGTATATGGTTTTTTTTTTATGATTTACCCCTAAGATAAGTCTATGTTCAATAAATGATTTTCAAAAAAGGTATTTATATTTCATATGAGAAATGGCCATTTTTTTTATATTTTTCGCAAAAATGAAATTTCTCCATTTACTACCCTTTTGAGCTTATTATATTTAAAAAAAAAAAACTTTAACTAAAAATTACCCTTAACAATGGAGGGCAAAATTTAAAAAAGATTTGGTTGCAAAAAAAAAAAAAAAAAAACCCCAAAAGTTTTTAAGGATGAAGATTGGAAAAACCCTTATATTAAAAGAAATATGAATGCTACAAATGATCTAAAGGTAAAGTAGAAAGAATTTTTTATGAGTAAATTCTTTTCAAAAGAGAAAATAATGAAGAAAAACAAATGTGATGAAATAAAAAGATGCAAAAGAAAAAGGAAAAGGAAATGTAAAGAAATGAGGCAAAATACCAAAGTGTTTTAAATAATGAAATAATCATTTGGTTTACACCCTTTCAAACATATGTTTTGTGCCTATTTTCTCTTTTTTTTCATAACCCTTCAAC